GCAAGAATGTCTAAGATAACTCTGGTTCTAATAGACTGAATTTACCGATACTAGGTGATGATTGAAGTTGAAATGAAAGCCTGGGTCAAACCAGTAACATACGGGTGACCCATCAGGCGCTGTACTGAGTTACCATAACCAGCTGGTTACTAGGTCATAACTTCCCTTCCATGATCGAAGTTTTACCAGACTGTAATGTGAAAACGCGATATATCACTATTCATTTAACGCAATTACACTGGCTGTTTAGCCAAGTCTTTTCGCCCAAATCCGAATGCAGCTGAATGAGAGAGAGGGAGAATCGTTTTTAATTATAAAGGACGTGACTTTGCAGTCAGTGTAATTATGATGAGTTGACAGTGACATGCCACGGAATAACACGGTAAGTGGGAAAAGCCGCAGCGATTGAAGCCAAGTTTAAACCTGATTGGAAGTCGAATGTCTTGACTCAGTTAGATTGTTGAAACGGTAACTCGGAAGCCGCTAACCCGAATTCTCTTGCGATGTGGCTTATCACTACACATTCAACCACCACATAGTGTCGACGACGTCAAGCTTGCACAACAGTTGACTGACAAGAATATGAGTTTGGAGAACTACTGCAGTCATTTGAACACTAAGTAGATGCTGATGGTGTTAAACCGGTCAGGCAAGTAGAAACAATTACGGAAAGTATCTTACAGATGTCTACGAAAGTTACACAGCATCTTCGGCTAAGTTAATTTTTACCGACGTTACAAACTTTTGATATATCAGGTCAGTGTCGGTTATTTTTAGTGGAACTAATAGTGACTTCCGAAATAATGAATGAAGAGATTGTATTGTTTGCTGAGTCGTTGTCTAACGTTTTTCTGTTCGAGATCAAATCTCAATTAACGCTTCTACGTGTTCCCCTGTACCTACAGTCGAGAAAAAAATCTACCAATAGTTGGTCGTTACAGTGTAGATGTTGTTTCGTGGAAAACATCAATCTACAATGGACGTATATGACCCTTAACAGTTCTAAGTATTGTAAGCACTGTGGATACACATATGTCGAACAGTGTCAAATGGAACAGGATACAAAGTAACGTGTGGAAGCTCGAATTAGTAGAACTACACCACATTTAATACGAATAATAACATTGTTTTAATAGTCTGATGTGAAAAATTACAAATCATACACATAACACATTATGAAAACCACTTTATTTGACGAAGTGAACATACACTACATTCAATGTTTAGATTGCTTGCTACCCGCACACTACCGGCCGTTCAGTAAGTGTGGATATACACCATCTCACAGGAATGTTGCAATTTACTTGCTACATTGAACTGCTGGGGTTAGAAGAATATTCTACGTTTAAGTCAATCAGCTGGATCAGATTTCTGTTGGGGATATGAGAAGCTATACGCTGTTTCAGTTTTGCGGGGAAACTGCAGTGAACAACATTATCTTCAAAGAAAAAAGCTTTACGCTGGCATCCATTTCCACATATATGTTTCCCCAAAAATTATATCAACACACTCACAAGGAGGAAACACAACACGAATAACTGCTCACGCAATTTATATTTGCCGGGATGTCCAGGAACTAAAACAGGAATTATCTCCTTTAACTAAAAATCCTCTCAAAGAGTGAATATCTTTTAACACTTTTAGTCTCTTCTATGCCTTCAGATAACAAGTGAACAGTTGAGTATATCAATAAATATACAAATATAGTGCATGCTCTACTCTCAGCTATGAATCACACCCATTATATGTAGACAACCCAGTCACACCTTAAGTGGGTGAAGCGAGATTGCAAAATCCAAGTCACTGGTTAAATAAAACTCTACTGAAACTATTTAATACATAAGCGACTAAATCGATTGAAATAATATAGAATTGGAAATCCCAACAAACTGCCTGAAAAAGAAACTAATGAGATTTATTTGCAATTTGATATAGGAGTTAAACTTGGGCACTGTGGTACATTGTAATTCCATTTTAGTCTGCCTATTAGAAATGTCATACAGTGAAACAGTATCGCCTACTAGATAACGTTTCGGACACAATTTATTGTCCATATTTATATCAGGCAACTAACTCCACAACTTTGAGACAGTTCTTACTTCCTCGCCATCTTTGTGACAAGGGTAATAGAATTTTCCATATATCTGTGACAGGTGTAGAATCATTTCCATTGCGTATATTTGATGTTGATTCGACCAGAGTAGCTTAGAATAACAGCACAAATCAAGATAAGTAGATCCTAATAAGGTAAGAAATTTAGAAAACAGCTCAGCTATAGCTGTGCACGCAACTGCACACAATGACACAGTAGGGTGGGATAGAGCGACAGCGTTAAAAAATTTGGATGGGTGAAGGGAGGGAGAGATTGATGACTGAATCTTTGTTCATCGAACCAACACCAAATACATGCAGTAGAAATGATTCTACACCTGTCACAGATATATGGAAAATTCTATTACCCTTGTCACAAAGAAGGAGAGGAAGTAAGAACTGTCTCAAAGTTGTGGAGTAAGTTGCCTGATATAAATATGGATAATAAATTGTGTCCGAAAAGTTATCCAGTAAGTGATGTTGTTTCACTATGTGACACTTTTTAATGAACAGACTAAAATAGAATTTACGATTTAGTTTCAATAATGAAAGATACCGATAAAATGAAAAGATCCTCAATGGGACAACTGAGAGTAGATTGTGTAATGTCAGAATTAGAAAATTCTAAGCTTAGTACAATCACACCTACAAAAAACATATGGATGATACATTTATGAATTGGATATCGTTCTGGATAAATCCTACACGCCTTCAATAATTTTCATGCAGCGTTGCAGTTCACTCTAGAAAAGAAATTAAAATCAGCTATTCCTTTTCTTGACGTATTAACCACGAGGCAGAAATTTAACACTTAATAGATCCATCTACAGAAAGTTCACATGGAATTGACAACTTACTACCTTCTACAGTGGTGTGTGTATAACAAGGAGAACAAACATGATTCATTGCTCTGCTATCTAATTATGAAATATTTATAGCACAGACTGCCTGGGAATTGAACTTGATTTCTTAAGAAATACGCTTGAAGAGAATTTCTGTTTGCAGCCGATTTGTCAAGAAAATATACGAGAAAGATATGCGAAACCAGTTATCAACTCAGTTTCCAACACAACTTTGTTCATGAATGTAGTACTTAAAGGTGATAGAGGTAGGCATTTTAAAAAAAAAACCATCATACGAAGAACAATCTTCGTAGTCAAACTTTATATGACCTTTACTAGCTATTAATTGTTTTGTGTATGTGTTAAAGGCAATATCCGTCGACTGGTCACCTCGATGTGCATGTACCAATTCACCTGCTCCTGTGGAGAAAGCTATATCGGTAGTAATCGAAGATTGCTGTCAACACATATATACGACAGTATATTCCAGCTTGAGGTGAAAGGCAGGCAATGTATTAGAAGTTCTATCCCTGAACACTTGGTTAATCCAAGCTATTCAACTGAACCAAGATTGTTTATCGAATTCATTGAAATATTTAATGTTCCCTTCATTTTTAACTTCAAAAAACAACAGAAACCTCGGCTATTCATGAAGTGAAGCCTAACTTTTGTGTCCAAAAGAAGTAAGTAAAGCTTTCGTTGTTACCTTGGCCTTAACTTCATTTTGTCTTGATTCACTTTGTTTTTTTCAACTTTCTTCCCTTTGTATACTTTGATCATCATTATCAGTTCTACATTTCATATTTTCTCGTATTACTTTATTAAATCTTCCCAATAATTACATTTTCAGTTAACTTGCTTTATTCATATTGCCTAATACTTTGTTTGTGTATTAGTATTACCACGTTTTCAACCCTTTGTAATCTATATGCACCCTGTGAATGATCGTAAAACTCTACGCAACCTCTTTTAATCATCAAATAAACTCTATGTCATCAACTAACAATATTATTACAACGATAAACATCATTATTATATCTCATCACTCAAATTTCTTCACAGATTGCAGTCTCTAAATATCGTAAATACATATGAGTATACAGCGTTGAGAGTAAATTCATTGAAAAGAGGCATTTTTGTTGAATTTCTTGTATTGATATCACAATATACGTCATTCAGTTGTAACTGAAATGTAACTTTGCATTTTGTCATGTATACACATGTTAAATATTCAGTAGAAAATGTGAAAATTATCATTAAGAGAGTTAAGTCGAAATATCAATTCATCGGAGATAATATGATGTCACTTAGTGGTCATAGAATAAATGTGATCAATTCCAATTAGAATAAAATACACAGAGCTGAATTCTTCAGATTACCTGAATCTGGCTAGCTGACTTTCATGGATCGATATACCTTAAACAGGATCATCAACAATCTACAAATCGTATGGTCTATGTTGACACTTCTTATAGTTGAGTAGTTTTTCACCTGCCTTAATGTGGTGTCAACATGGTTTCCGTTGGAAACGATCCTAAACGGCTAACCGGTGTTTAGATCACTTCCATCTGACTGATAAAATCTATCTAAGTTACTCAATATCTTAAGCTAGTTCATGACACTTTTATATCAGAAGATCATACATTATGATCTTGGCTGCTGTGTGGTTTCCAACGGAAACTCTATTGATACAACAGTTGGTAAGTTGAAAAACTATTCAGTAGCTATGAGAAAAGTAAAGGTGAACTGTGAAATTTTTAAATTATTTGAAAATTGATCCCTACTACAATACTGTGAGTCTTATACGCTGAACACGTTTCCATTTCGGTCAAGAGAGTATATAGGAAATAAAAAGATAATTTTTTTCAACAATCTAGTTATGTAATATATTTTCTTCGTCCAAATCCTGCAATCTTTACTAGATGATTGACAAGAAAAATCCTGCTTACATCACATAGAAGTATGAAAGACTGAGTGTGTACCGTTGGTCAGCTGTAAAATAAAGATTTATCCTAGATGAAAAGAAAACTGTGTATTTTATATTCCACCCTTTGACCTCTATTAGTTATGACCGCTGTGCTGTAGCAAAACTATATGGGAAGACCCACAACATCCATTGTAAAATAAGGGTGTACACAATGAATAAAGAACTTCACAATATTAAAAAGTGAAAAATGAAAAAATAAAGCTGATGTCAGTATGAGAGAACTCCATGACGATGACTGTTAATATTGTTACTACAACTATGAGAAGTAGTAGTACCTATCACATCATCGCCGATGTCACTTGTGCATGGTATCATACATTCTGTTACAGGTGGTAATGATAGTGTTGAACTGACTGGTGTTCGACAAAGAGGGCAACTAAGCAATCCAATTAAATGATGCGGTACTGCAGACATAGCTGACTTTTGAAGTGATTTGAAACAATCAGGGCATATAGCTGCGTGACGACAGGGAAGGAGGACACGAAGACTCGATGTGGTCTCTGAAGACAAGCATATAAAACAACACGGTCTCCATATTTTACAAGCATTATCATCATTCCCCAAGGTATTTGGCGCAACTGTCTTCACAGACATGGTTGTTTGCTCTTCCGAATTCGCATTTTGACCAGCATTGAAAAGAACCTATGTGAAATATAATAAAAAAAGGAGGGTTACCAGTACCAAACAATCACTTTCAACTATAAGAAATAGAGTACTTTCTTCACAAACAAAACGGATACATGAAAGCATTATAAAACTTAGATTTACTTGCATAAAAATAGTAGTAAAGCTTATTTAAGAGAAAATTCTTAACACAGCATTAAAACGTTATTAGTAGTGAAGTCATTTGACACTGAAAAAGCTATTTCAACTTTCCTTCTTTCACAAGAATCTGCTTGTAGACAGCTTGAGTCGAAGGTTAAATGGGTGGAAACATCGACTGTGCAATCCAGATATTAGGCAAGTCAGTTTATAAGGCTGACAAATCAAGTCGAAGATGGTCATTCAGTCAAGTTTTATGCCTTACTTAGCCACTGCTGACCATAATTCACAGTATTAGCTCAAAAAAACTTTACGCAGTGGTCAAACCAACATACTGCATTCATGTACGAACTTAATTATTGGTTCAATTAGTGTTAGAAAGTAAGTGCTTAAAAGATTGAATCCTTGAATTCGAATATGAACATACTAATAAGTGAAATAGTTAGAAATTGATTGCAGTGACGTAAACCACCTTCTGTTCAATCCCTGGAAACGGATACCTGTTACTGTTTTTTTACCGATCCTTAACTTTGTCATAATAATTTACTTTTGTTTCCACTTAAATATTTTTTTCCTGTTACTGACTAGCGTTTTCTGTGGTTTTAACAAAGACGTTGCACCATTTTACGATATATATTCGTTTATTTAACGGAATCCTGGTCAAATTGATTAAAGCTGTGACTTTAGACGATTCATACATGCAATAAACATGTAATCTTTGATGGATGCATAGAGAACACATGAATATATGACAATCGCCGAACTGTCCAAGCTACTACAATGTAAACACAATAAGGGTGAATAAACGACAAGAAATTTACAGAGAGGAGAATAAATGTCGGCAAATTAAGAAAGGATGAAAGCAAAAAAGACAAAGTATGAGAGACAGAGATAATAAGATGATATCCAAGATTAGGAGAAAGTGTAAATGCAATCGACTTTAAATCATATCGCCGAGGCTCAACTGTCTTGCAGACCATAAAGACGAAATATATATTCCCTAAAATGACTGATAGTGATGATTATTGACTTCATGAACTGGTACCCCGTACCAATGTAACTATCCTCAGATTTCCTTTATCCCATTCCAGGTAATATACAATGCGATGGTAAGGTGCATGAGTAGCAAATGTCATTGAGCAGACTTGATATTAACTAGGTCCTGAAATGTAGACGAGTTTTGTGTCATTACAAAGTTGTTTAACTTCCAATAGTATGAACTAAATCTGTTACTGCCAAGGCTATATTGAAGGAATAAACAGTTAGTTTACAAATGAAACGGTTCTAAGTTCCTAAACACGTCAGTATTCAACGAAGACAGAAGTATTTTCACACATCTTTGATAAGATGATAAACGTGTAAAAAAAAAGTATTAACAGTTCAAAGAGCGAAGAAGATAACCTGAAGTTAGGACGTCAAAATCGATCGTCTACCTGGTCATATCAGAAAATTAGATAATGCTGTTTCGTTTCAGTTTGTTTATTAGACGTAGAATACAGTGAAATAGTATGCTTTACTGGATAACATTTCAAATAGTTTATTGTTCTTAATCATGTCAAGGTAACTCCACAACTTTGAGACATGGCTTACATTGTTCTAGTTGTCTTTTCTCTTTCATGATTCTGTCGTTAATCTCTTCTATTTACCCAACTGAGTTATGTTGTAATAATGTAGCTCTTTTCCACCCTATTGCATAACTGAGGGTAATCACACGCATAGCTATAGTAAAATTTTCTTCTCCTACTAGGGACTAACAATCTTGATTTAGCTAAGCTTTTGCGCTCAGATAGCATGAGTGATCCTGGGCGACCACTTTAACCCATGTATTTGACTTAGTAATCATTGCAGAGGACTCGGTAAACTAAATTATTTTGCCCAACTGGATCAAGAGGGTACTTTAACCTAGAAGGCTTGCTTCTAAGCGAGTTTCTAAGCTTAAATACCACTCTAATCCTGGTCTTATTACGAATTCTTCGTCTCAATGATTACCTACTTGAATTTATCAAGAAATTTATATGAAATTGTAATAAAAATATGAGCAGTAGTGGTAGCCCAGACATTAATAATCGCAATAATAATACTAATGATGGTGAAATCATGAAGAGAGAATTCCTAACGTTGACCATGTTATCATGCAAGGAAGGCGCCTCAGAAGGATGGAATTAGAGTGATATTTAAACGCATAAAATTACTAAGATACAAGCTTTCTGGGTTTAAATACCCTCTTGATCCAATTAGGAAAAATAATTTAGGTTACCAAATCGTCTGCAATGATTGCGAGGTCAAATACATGGGTCCAAGTAGTCGGTCAGGATCAATTAGGCTGTCGAGCACAAAAGCCTGGCTATATCAAGATTAGACCCATACCACCAGTCCTAGAAGACAGCAGGGCAGGGAGGAATGTGCTATTCTGGGGTTGAATTTTTTCAAATCCCCTTCTTATAGAGAAGACAGCATCAGCATGGCACTGCTGGTCATTTGTGGGAAACATCTACCTTACTGCCGTCACACCCCCTATCCAATCACCAGTATGACTTCACCCTCAAACCCCTGTCACAACATAACAGTTTATGTTGTAACGGTAACTGCTTTTTCTCTCACCACTATACAAATGACCTTCCTGGTATGGCAGGACCTCGAAGGATGGAGTGTTCCAGCCAGTGTGGATTGTTGGGTCATTGTGATGTACAAGCCTGACCACCATATCAAGGCAGCAACTGTCAGTTGGGAACAAGAAGAAGTGTTAGCCTCGTGAGAAAACAATTACTACCTGGTATAACTTTAAAAGAAGCCAAAAAGTGAAGGAAGGTAGAATGAATACATTTATAAATTTCAGTTGGGCTCTTCAGTTCAGTACGCCAAATAAGTGACCATTTCGAACCGAAAAAAGCAAAATGCACTCAGTAAGCTTGTGCACATTCGTGTAGTAGGCAATGAGCCACACCTATTGTGTGAGAGCTAATGATACTACCTAACTGCCCAAACCTTGGTAAGCAGAGTAGGGTTCAAACGCGTGACACACAAGTTGAAAGTCAACCGCTTAAACCAATGAGCCACAGTTCCACTTGACTATATACATAACGTAATATATAACTTAATATATTAAAAGCCAAAGAAGAAAGTACTCTAAAATGGAGGTGAAAAAACCTTTGAGAAGTCAAATAAATACTCAAGGAAGTTGGAAAGGGATAAGGAATTAGCAGTGAAAAACTTTACATGTTAAAGCTTATTTACTTTACTGTGGATAGAATAGTTTGTAATCCAATAAGAGGTGAATATCAGCAGTAAAACTGTTTGTCAAATTAAGAACGCAAGAAGAGGAGAAAATAATCATTAACTAATTGAAAATAATGATAAGAATTAAATTATATTCAATGCCAAAGTGACAGTATATGAAAGATGGCTACTACAGTAGGCTTAAGGTAACATTGGGATAGTTTGTTTGAACTGTATGAGAGTAACACTTAAACGAATCAACAACCATTTACAGATTTCTGTACTTTACTACAACCAAAACATACTGAATGAAGGATCATGGATGCTACTCAGTAGACTGACACATGATTCGACTATGAAACTACTTACTTAAAAGTCGTGCCTAAATCAGTGATTCAGAAATTAACACTTGTGCTATAATACCAATAGCATTCAGATATTTTCATTTCTTGATTTAAATTAGTAAATAAGTATGGTTCATGGTTCAACACCTCTATGGTCTTCGAACGAAAAAGAAACTAGACCGGCTCTTGACATGTTACTATATCAGCATCTAATTGTGCAACAACGATCTTTGAATTAACACTTCCTGACAACCGGAGCTATGGCTCAGTGGTTTAAGGAGATGACTCTCGATCGATGGGTCACGGGTTCAAGTCGTACTCCACCTACTGACGTTCAGGTGGTATCACTAGCTCTTACACAACATGTGTGGCTCATTGCTTGCTGAATGAAGGTGTACGAGGCTGCTGAGTGTATTACTTCTTCTTCTTTCTCTTGACAACCTGATATGTTTCGAAAGATAGGCATAACGCAGAGTGCTACAAAACAGTATATCAGATCAAGTCAATACGCATCGTGACAGCACAGAGAAGTAAAGTAGTAGATATGGAAATGAATTGGGAGAGCAGTGTACGCGATCAAAAAACAGGCAGATGTGGAGGGATAAGATGTTTAAGATTAAAACAGTGAATACAGTTTGTAAAATAATCAATTTTCAGCGATGTCTTCAACCATTGATTTTTTAAGCGACAGAAACTCTATGAGGCTCAGATCAACAATCAGCATTACTTCTCATTCTGAGATTCCTACTCCTTCTAAACGTGATTCAGTCGGGGCACTTTCTATTGAAACTATCTCTGAAAAAGACAATTTCACCACCACCATCACCACCCGCAATCACTTGGATTTCGTATACTCTACTCTCTGTAAGGTTTGTTAACCACTATCCATTTTACACCATGGAAGAAAGATACACTTGCATGATGATACTGTCACAATCCAACTGTGTACATATCTGAGTACAAGATTATACAGTAAGTCTAATGTGTACGGGTTAACGACAGTGAATCGCCTAGTAAACTGAGATAGGTAGAGTAAGGTTACAAGCAGAGACTAAATGAGAAGTAGCTAAAAGCTCAAATCAATGAGCCAAGGCTCAAAAGAAATCGATTTAGTGTTTAGTATTTTATTTACATGACAACTACCTTGAAAAGTAACTCTGAAGCTAATAACATAACTTTATGCTTACCTGAGGTGTTAGTAGACGGTTCCAGTTGGTTTTCCAAAATGTATACATAATACTTGTATCCACACTTTCTTCTGCTCGTATTTTCACGTGAATTATATAGCATGTGACGTTCTGAATCATTTAAACGAAAAGTATTTGTTAATGGTAACCATAGAAATTCTGTAAAGTACAGTATTTTGCAACTCAGAAACATGTACAGGTTTGTATATTAGCTAACGGACATGCTTCGTGTGCATAAAGACAGACAGAAAAATTAAAGTAGAACCTGGCACCGAAGAGCATTAGTTTAAGTTGCCACATTTCACAGCGGTATATAAAGGAAGAAGTAGATAGAAAACTTGATCGTTAGGTGGAAAACCGAAATGACGTCGCACAGGAGACAACGGAGTACACATACTATGAGAGCTATTGATTCTACTGTCTGCCCAAACCTTGACATTCGAACCCTTGAGCCGTTAGTAAAAAATCGACTACCGAACTAAAAAAGATACATCTCCAAAGTAAGCCACAAGACGAATTTTGTAATTACATTTCTCCAAACAAAACTTTAAAATAGTAAAACGAAACACCAATCCTTGTTAAACCATACACACAGCATAACAGTTATTTTACTTGAACAATTCAAACTTACTTAAATCGTAGATATATAATGAGTACAAACAATACAAAAAATAATCTCCATACTGACAAATTATACGATTCAAATCTTGCGAGAAATAATTTCTACGTGAATCTACAGCAGTCAGGTCAATCATTCTGCATACGGGTTTCAATGTCCACGTTACATACACTGCTTTTACTTCAAACGACACTATATGAATGCTAAAGGTTCATCGTGTATGCTAGCCGACAAACTGGACAGACGAGAAACTCATTATTCAACTACTAATCGATTCTCAATCTTGTAAACTTTCAAAATCATTTTCCAAATTATTTGTTGAGTTGTGCATTTTGAGTCACGGTGGATAACAGAGAAGTTTTAGGGTTGCGCAACTTGTGTGATGCCAAGAACCAAGTTGCACACTGGTGAAAACATTTGTACCAGTTAAATTTTATATGTGGATAACTCAATGACGCACAATATATAAATGCAGATAATACTGACTAACAATACCAACGTAGAAACTCGCACACAAGTGCATAGGCTACACTTTACAGTAGTACAGAAAGAAAAGATGGACAGAAAAAGAGTGATACCAAAGAAGATAAACAATCTGAGGATAAGGGTTAGTGAAATACTCAAGTTTCAGATATCAAGGGGTGAATACATCTGGGGCATGGTGACCGATTTTTACCCATGCCACCAAGAGTCCTCAACCACCGATTCCTACAGAAAACCGCCTGAAACTTACAACGATGAGTTATCATGTCGAGAGTAAAACGATACGATATCAGTGTAAGAAAAAAACAGGTAAGGACTGATGAATTGTCTATTGGGAAAAAATGCAGATTCTTGGTAAAATATGAAAATCTTGCAATAAACATAGCCTATACAGATAGTCTCCGCATTCTACATTTGAGATGAGCTGATTTTTAGTTTCTGTTGTCCTTTGCATTTCTTTTCGATGCTTCTGACTTCCTCCTTTAGAATCCTCAATGGTTGGATGATAACTCCACTTGCTCTCACAAGAACAGGATGCTGGTGCACTACTTACACGTGCTTGTATAAGTAGAATACATATTAGCAACATGATGCATGTGTCAAGTAAAGACATTTGCGTCCTGTCAACCCGTTTCGTGAAACCTTAGTCTAGAGCATTGTATCCTACATTTAAGGTATATGAAGAACTAGGTTACACTGGTTCCTATAAAACAGAAGTTGCCATCCACCAACGGTTTTGGTGGCCATTAACACACTGAGACGTAGAATAGTTTCCTAAAATATATGATACTTGAGCAAGAAATAAGTCATCATAAAAACGAGTGCAACGACCATACATTTGCTGATGGAGAGATAAAAGTCAGTTTGTGCGTATTGATGTCAACGAGTCGCCGTTGTTTCACAAGAAAACGTGTTACGTCTTAGTCGCAATTTATGGCTATACCAAATGGTGTGGGGCTGCGGCAATTCACCAACCTTGTGATTCAGATTTATTAACTACTGAGAATACAGGAAACATATACTTCACCATATCACCCCCAAGAAAACAGTATAGCGGAGTTAACGAAGAAGAATCTTAAAGTACTAATCTCTTTTGTTGCCCATCTACCCTCGAACCAATGAAACAAACCCTTCCTGCACATTGAGCATAGATTCACTCTACAGGATTCTCACTTGCTCAAGTGTTATTCGACAACCAATTGCGACTGCTCATGCACTACAAGTATTTTGAATACGCTCCGTAGCTTCATGATTGTCATAATCATCTAACCACACCATTCCAACTAGGGCGAATCTAGTCACAGACCGCCTCTCGTAAGGTCACTTGAGGAGACCTGAGTACAGAATATATAACAAGCGATAGCCTACTTACAGAACACTAATTTCCTTTCAAAGCAGGTCTCTTGACATTGTAAATGAGTGAGCTCTGAGTTCGGGTTGTTGAAGGCAGGGCTGGAGATAATGACTAGTATATCCCTGATAGTTCCACCTCAGACAACCTCAACCTGTAGTACATCACTATCTCAACGTCTTAGTTACGCCAACAAAATATCCACATACATAAGAGCACTTTATTGGGCAAGATATAGAAAATTTTCAACCAGTTTACTTAAGAACTTACTATTTCTTCAACTGATGAATCTGAAGCACCAGACAAAAGACCAATAACCAGTGAATACGTTTCACGTTTTCCATGATCGGCAGATGACTGGACACTTACAGAAATGAGCATCTCTTGACTTCCAGGTCTGTGAAAAAGTTACTAGAGAGGGAGAAATGATAGCCTACTTTACAGTATATTTCTCAACAGCATTGGCAACAATGTAATCTCTGAGACCGTTATGGTCACCAATAAGGGCATCATGAAAAGAGGACAAAGTAACGTCACGAAGGACGCAAAACTTAGTACATTTAGTGCTGGAAACAGTTATTCGTATTGGATTTCCTGAGGTTTTGAAAACCAAAAATGACAAAAATAACACTCACCATATATATTGCTATTTGATGGTTGGAAATCGGTTATAACTGCATTATTGCACAGTTTTGTAGTTGATATGTCAGACAGCATGTATCCTCTCGTTAACACAGACATCCCTGAATCTGAGTTTTGTCCATGTAACCAAGCGATACTAAATTTCACGATGCATTATTCTATAAACAAGAGAGACTTACAATTTCTCCTTCGCGACTTTTATTATGATAGAAAGGATAAGCAAAGCCAGAAAGATTCTAATAAGCACAAGCCTGATAAAGTTGGAAATGTCCACCATAACTGCGAATCCAGATTAACCTGAATTATTCTATCTTTGATATACTTTTAATTGGCCTGAAGGTGTGCAATCATCAGGCGAAGATTAGAGACGAAGCTCCGATCAACCAATACGAAAGCCTTCAAAGAGTAAGACCAACGGGTAAGTGTTTTAGTGAGAAAGGACATGCGGTTAAATGAAAGTGACACACATTAAAATTTGGTCAATTTGTCAATTAGTTAACATCGACATAGGACCTCGTATCATTACTTAGCGGTCAAAGTTATCACATGTCATACCAGCACACCAAGACGTAAGGAAATAAAACGTAAACTGGAGAAAAAGATACGAATGTAATAAAATGTCAAATTAAGTCATAAGAATACTGAGTAAAACAAAGGACCAAATATGATACGATTAAGAATGGGGTGATATGCGCATGTATCTGCACCGCTTCAACCGATCCTGGCCCACACCAACCTGATCTCTAATCATCGATTTCTGTTATCAAGTAGACCCCAACTAGAAAGTCTACATTTCGCTGCACGGTGCAAACTAACAGTCAGAGGCTTCACAAACTGGCATCACCTTTTTTCGATCCATCCTAAACCATTTTTCAAACTAATCCAACTTCACCTATCATCGAATATTGGGGTAAACGATAGCTAAGTATGTGCAATACATATTCCAACCACTCAAGTCGGTGAAAGTCTACAACCTTCTCAAATAACCCATCTCTTTCAACTAGCACTATGTGAAACATATACGCAGCACACGTAGTGGTACCTTACACACGAGCAATGCTACAAAGATAACAGTTATCGCATATCTGAAGTCTGCTCAAACTCTCCATATTTATGGTCATGTATCACACTTGTAGAGCAGAACAGAGCAAACTACAAGGCGGTACACAGACAATTGGATATCACCGTGGAGACGTAAGTGGTGTGAGATGGTGAAAACCAAAAGATCCTTTTGTATCTGTGAAATGTTGTCAGTCACTGACCCATCAAAGCTGATCAGATTTCCCCGTAAGTGAAATGGTCAACATATCCAACCCCTTAACCATTTATTGTAAGACGAAGCGCCAACACAGAACAATCCTGGAGAAAAGTTTGCATTTGAAGTATCGAGAAATACAGTCTGAACACTTTTGATTACCACTCAAATAGTGCAGAAGACAGATGAGCTACTTTGTCATCACCTTCCCGTAAGAGGACTGTATTACCTTAGTATTCTAGGTCTACCATAGAGTCTCCTATGAAAACATCATTCCCCGTAAAATAAGATAGCAACAGGAAAACCTTTATTGGCATGTCTGTTTTAAAACTAGAGAAGAATAGAGAAGCTGGGTATTTTTGATGAGCGACACAACGCATACAAATCACCTAATATCTCATTATAGACTGTAACACATTCACACGTGTTCGAATAGTCTTCATTAACAGGGTGATGTGTTTACCTGACCCCCGCCCCAGACAGATAATACCATACGGCGTCTCGTTATAAAAACACCGAATACCACCCTCAGATTAAGAAATACACTGAATGTCGAATGCATGTAAGTGTGCCTGTGTTCGAATACCTGGGGGAAATGGAGATTTGGTCGATACACCTACGACCAGCCTGAAGCCTGCCTGATTTTCTTAGGTTAGTTGTTTCCTATACTGACTTCGGCATCTAATGATTTTAGAACCTAGAATCTCAGACACCACATTCGTCAAACTGATTGCTCTGTAATCATCACAAGAGGGTTGCTCACCTTTCTTTAGGACTGGGACAACCAGTGACTGAACGTTGTCAAATACTTCTGATACTTGCCTATCTAGTTCCGCTACTCTCCCTCGTTTCATGTCACTTAAAGCTTTCTCAACTTAATGACGAGTTAGAGATCTTTCTTAATGTTCCATTCAGGACCCAACTAGATAGCTGGCAACGAAATAGCATCTTCAGACTAGTTGAACTTTTCATCAAAGAGTTTTTTCTATCGTTCAAGTCATCGGTGAACAAATAGCAAACCCATACTTCTCTGCCATAGTCTCACTAACCAGTGACTTTCTCGACCCAGTTTACTTGATCAGTCTCAATAGCTGTCTACTGTTACCTATCACTGAGACCTTTTCTAACTGTTGGCCTTTTACTTCCCAGCACTGCTTGAGTCTACATTTGAGTTCATCTTTGAAAGTAACCTTGGCATCCTCATGACTAAGTTGGGCTTGAAACGGTCTCCCAGTTGTAATAATTCTACGTCCATTCAGATGGAGACATATGCAGACCCAAAGTAACCTGAGATCACCATCCAAACACAAGCCTCAAAAAGAGCAGTAATCTTCCACCTACCCGCTCCAGAGGTAAACGATAACGATATGGTCTATTTGTGTCCACCGTTCAGCTGAGGTAGGCGAACACCACGTAACAATGTCTGCTCTTATGTACCACAATCTTGCTGATTAGAAATATATAGTTTAAGCACAGTTGTACTGACTGACCGCCATTATCTGTTTGATCGGCTGGAATTCCGAAGGTGCCATATAAATGCCTTTCAGTCAGTGTAAAAATGGAAACTTAAAACAATATAGAAGTACACGAGAAAAGGCGGTAGTATTGTTATGTACAAAACACATTTGTAGGATCTACAAAAAGTTATGTATGAAAGTGCAGAATGTGAATAGTTACATTAGTTAAAATATTGGGATGTTATCTTAGTTGTAGAATTCTGCCTTTTTTAATGACACTGAAGACTGCCCTCTAGATCAGCCAATTTTCTGGATATGTAGGTACAGGTACCTAGTTGAACGGAACTTAACAGTCAACAGGCTGCAGTAAATTAGTATGAGAAGCATCATCCAATTCATTCAGTCGCAGATTTTCAGAAATTGGAGTTGCACTGGCTTTTGTACATATTAAGAGGGTTACAGGGTATGATTCGCACCACTCCTTTTCAGTCTTGGATTTGGCTTTTTCGAAAGATGAGAATAATTTTACCCGGTACACTTCATTTGTTGTTAGAAGTGACTACATCATCATTTTCAAGTACGCCACTACCAGAACGTACTAATTTAAGGTTGTGACTCGATCCCTGGGGTTCGCGGGACAAGTGGAACCAGTGGTTGGAGACTCTAGGTGATATGCCTCAGAACCGATGTCAGTGGTGCAGATGTATACATATATTATCCTCATCTTAACGACGCTATACAGAATCTCACCACTTTAATTCTTCGTTTCTCTATTTTCGTACTTTATATTTTTTCTGACTGCATTCATCTTGCGTCTCACTGCCTTTTTACTTGATGTACTGAGGTGTGGCAACTCGGACCGTTACACAGTAATACCTGGTTGTGGGTTCATCTGGATGGATGATGGACTCGATTCCTGTAAAACGCAGGTAAAGCGGAGATTAGCTCTGCTAGCTCTTCATAATACTGAACAACCAACCCAGAAGCCCCAATTAAAGCTACATAGTGCTTTTCTTCGACAGCTATATATCCAAGTGAGGCAGCCTTTTATTGCATGGGTTGTCTTGAAGACCCGATAACATTGTCCATCTTAAGCTACGAAATTCGTAATCTGCTATAGTGAGAGGAAATGTCTTGGAGCGTTGCTATCCTTTAAGAAAACACAAGCTTCTGTACTCTGAACAATTTTTTTCCAAAGGATGGATTATTACTCACTATTACTTTGCTCTAGGAACGGTTGCAAGTGAAAAGGTGATTAGTGTGATGTGGAGTTTTAGGTTGAAGGACGGTCACGTTAGGTTAGCATCTTAGTCAAATGACTCCCTAAACAGGGTCCAAGAAATCAGGCAACCCAGTGGTTTGAAACGACATAAATGAATCCGAATCAGTACCAGCGGAGATCACGCTTCACATTTTCGTTGTTCATTCGGCTGTCGAAAAGTAAAATGAAAATAATGAATGCCTCTTTGCATCTAACTTCAATGACCTGTTTTTAATTTCAATTTGCTCTCTTTTCATTTCCTTCCTATATGACAAACATGTTTTTAGTGTCATAATATTTGTGATTCATTTTCAGGTGCCATGTTGTTAGAAATAAATAATAAAACCATTCCAAGTACATTACAGGTTAAAAAAAATACAATGTAGTACAGAATGAGTATACCGTAACCTTCTGTACATCTGGAATACATTTCGAGGCTTACATTACATGAGGCTCTACAGAGAACGCTAAGGATTTTTTTCTTAAATAAATTATCGAAAAAAAAATGGAATCCCTATCCTAACTGGTAACAGAAAAATACGAACAAATTAAGCTAATCAAAACCAAGAAGAAATAACTAAGTACTAAAAAATACTGAATATATTCTGTAAGCGTACCAAAATAATAAATTTCCTATCTTGTACACTTTTGGTTATCATCATCAAGATCAACATAGGACCAGGCATTACTTAGCAACGATCCAAGTTGCCACATCTCATATCAGCACATCAAGTAGCAAGGTCATAAAATGGAAGATGAAAAAGGAAAGAAAAATCGGCCAAAAGGAGTAAAGTAGTAAACGAGAGGAAGGGAGAGATTAAGTATATCGGCTAAAATGAGGATAATGTGTATATGCATGTGCAACACTGACATCGGTTCTGAGCCATAATGTCTAGAGTCTGCAACCACTGGTTTCTGTTGTCTCGTGGACCCTAACCGGCTAGTCTGCATCGCTCTGCACGGCTCAAACGAACAGTCAAGGACTTCTTGCATCGATGCCATATTTTAGTCTCGCCGCCGCCAGCCTTTTTCCAGCATGAACCCACTTCCGCCAACATTGTGCGACGAGGCATACATAACACATCACCGCCATTTCAGTTGATGAAGGTCCATAACCGTATCAACTGTCTTAACTCTTCTGCCGAAATCTTTACACCTGATATCTGTTACACATGGTGACACCATGAAATAAGGTCTGTGTTACGAAGGAAAAGGTAATCAAACCCCTGAAGTCTTCTCATGTATTTTACCTTTATTGGCCATATATCAGCCATGCAATAAAACAGAGCGGACTGCAGCACAGTACACTCGATAGAGAAACGATAACAGGACTAGATGAACCACACCCAGGACTTTTCGGAAGGATTGCAACTTGTGCAGCTGGTCCATTGACCAGCAGATTTAGACTGTTTCCCAGCTAATGCATGTAACCATATGACTAGAAGCCAAATCTGTACATAGTTGTTACCTTGACGTGGTGGTCGGGTTTACATATCACAATGACCCAATGAGCTACACCGGGTGAAACACTCCATCCCTCGAGGTTCTACTTTACCAGAAAGGCCATCTAAATAGTGGTAATAAAAAAAGCAGTCACCGCTACAGAGTAAACTGCGGCGTTGTGATGGGGGTTCGACGGCGAAGTCATACTGCTTGTTGGATGGTAGTGTCACTGCAGTAAGATGTTCCCTTTGGATGACCAGAACTGCCACGTTGGTGCTGTTATCTCTACGGGAGAATAGGTTGCCCCTTAAAACAGCACACTCCAATGTCTACCCTATAGTATGCCGGTGCCAGCTATGTAGGTTCATATTCGAAGTCGAAACTAAAAACCGTACATCGCTTCCATGGTACAGCCAGTCAGAGTGTCAACCACCTTCACAACTATGCCACCACTAAAGGTTTTTCAGATCATTACCAACCTTCCACATCTTTATCTTCTAATCCTTCTGCAGACCTCTTGTTGAGTATCCTTAAGTTATCTTTAATTTTTTTGGCCCTGCAGCTCTTGATAACAATCCGAGTTTACGGAACAGTATTTCCCGTCTCCTGAAGCCACGCTCTTAGTTACATATTGGAATAGACGGCGTGTTGTAATATACAGTGGGTTGTGTACGTCGTGTTATCCGTCAAGGATGTCCACTATCCATTCTTACTCAGCTTTATCATTAATGCTCTTATGGAGGTCTCCCTGTCATCCTACTTCATAGAAACCGAAATTGAACACAGGAGCATCCTTAGTTGGCCTAGAGTTTGCAGACGACATAGCCCTGTTAGGTGAAGACGCTGATAAGATGAGCAGTGTTGGGAACACAATAAGTGGCAATTAGAGAACGTTTGTGATACGTTTCTCGTCACCCAAATACCAGTCTTTAGCAGTGTCTAGTCTAACAATAGGAAGTTAAATAGTTGAGCACATTGACCACTTTATTTAACTGGGAAGTGGGATAAACCCCTGATGGGACAGCGACTGACGAGATATCTCCACGGATACGAAAGGCTCGCTCAGCTTTCGCTAACTTACGCCATTTATAGTACCGGCGTGCTATCTGACTGCCTATTAGGGCCGTCTATACTTCACAACAGTTTTATCTGTATTACTATAGGACTGACATAGACACTAAGGGCAGAGGACATGAGGCTTCAGGTGTTTCGCCATCACTGCCTTCGTGCCATAGACTGTACGTTGTGTAACAACGTAACGTAGAAGTCAAGAGTGAAGTTTTAAGCAGTAGACAGAAGTCAGTTGGTGAGGTTGTATACCTTTATCGATTGAGGTGGTTACGATGCTATGCATGCCCCCAAAAAACCTTCCTGTGTAAAATAGTTATTCTACATGATTTGACTAGAATCAATCAAACTAATATGCTCAGGACTACGGCTTTACACACAAACTTTTGGAATTTTGTGTACACACGTGGTAGGAACTGGGAGTCTTTTAACCACGATTGGGTAAAATAGTGAATTCCCATGTATTCTCTCTCAAATATTGCACAACAGCTGAACGTCGTTGGTGTATTTCGATGCAGTAGATACAGACACTAGCCTATCTTACCTCTGGCAAGCCAAGTGGTGATTTGTCTGTAAGAATTCTTAGTCAAAGTGCACCCAAAGTGTTTGCGGACTGGGAAGGCTATGGTTTCCAATATCCAACATTGATAATGCGAGCGTGCAGTGGTGGTTTTTGATCTCTCGCGTCTAGTTCTTAGGGCTTGGTCCGAGTTTTTCGGTTCACTCCTGCAGTGGGAAAGGAAATATCTTCTGCTGTCTTGCTTTTAGCTTCGGTGAGGTGGATTTTTTGTGAGTTAGTAGTTGCAATTTATCTTTGTAAAGCAGTGATCGTGTATTTAAATGTTGCATGAACAGGCAGTTGTTAACTCTGGTTGTAAACAAAGCGAGCCATTCAGAAGATAATCACAACAGTAGAGGAGAAAAATGAGGTCAAAAAAGAACTGTTACCTGAATGTTTCACATATGTTGGAAAGTAGCGCCTCTAAGTCATCCGATTTCAGTATCCAATATCTGTTTGAAGACCTAGCGTAAACCAGTTGATTTCTTCTTGCTTGCTTCTTGCAGAACGGCTCCAGGTCTCTGGCGGATTTCGATGCATTAGATCCAGCCACTTGTTCGCTATAGCTCTAGTACACAGAACAGTAGGTTAAGTCTCGGTTAGTTCGCCTTGGACTGCGGTATAGTTGATTTATTCAGATGTCAGGTTGCCAGACAGCTGTTCGGACTTGTCGCTAGAGAGAGTTGTGGATAGCGGGGGGAAGACCTAGAGAAGAAGATTTGTGTGACTAAGCGGGAAAAGAAAAGTGGATTGGTGGATTAACCTACTTACGCGCAAGTTAGACTAAAAGGGGTGCAACGATATGAAGAACTTAGGTAGATAGGGATAACTTATGCCGGGTGGAAGCGATGAAAAGGGCTTGAATGGCCGCAGTAGAAATAAAACAAGTTGCAGAGATAAAATAGTTGGAATGTCGTGACGGCAGTAGATTTCTTCTCTTTGGTTCATATTCCAGCTACATGTGGGTATACCACTGGTCTCCGTGTGACTGTCTAGCCTTTTCTTGAAGCTTTCAGCGGATAGGGCGGAGACTACTTCCGTCGATAATGCGTTCAAGGGCCCACAAACTATAAGGGAGAAGAGGTGTGAGAACATGAGTTTTTGACCTGTGATGGGCAATTCTATTAGGGTTTCCACGAGGATCACCATAGTGGCCACTGGGTAGTAATCCTCCGTTCGGGTGAATTGAGTTGTTCAGTATTTCGTAGGCCATTATCAAGTCACCTCATAACCTTCTGTAGCTAAGAGAGTATGGGCCTGGTTCTTTAAGTCTATCCTCATATGGTTTCAGTTGCATCCCCGAAACCCCCTTTGTGGCTTGCCTCTTAACTCTCTCGAATGGGCTCGTGCCTATTTTAAGTTGTGGTGGAGCGAGGACACTGAAGACCCCCAAGAGGGGTCGTGTGTTAGTTTTGTAGAGCTTCAAAAATAGTTCTGAGGTGAGGGCACCAAGTTGTCTGAGGACAATGTGCAGTACACCGTACGCTCTTGAGGCACCAAGTGGGTAATTGGAACTGCTGTCCAGTTTCTCCATCACCGTTAAACCCAGGTCTTTTTCCACTGTGGTATGGGTTAAACGTGAATAACAGAGGGAGAAAGAAACTTTCTGCGAATCATAAGTGCTGAAAAACACGGACAGGCACTTATGCAGGTCAAATGCCGGTTAGTCATTTTTCGCCCACTACTCTAGCCCTTTGGGGTCGTTCCATAATGCACTCGATTCCGCTTCGCAAGTTGCCGCCCTCCATAACTTGACGTCATCACTGCGGAGGGGAGTCTCAGAGCTGATATGCAGCGAGAGGTCATTCACGAACAGTAGGAACAAGAGTAACCTCGCCTGGTTAACTAGTCCACTAGTTACTAGCCGGTCCTAAGCCCGGGTAAAGAGGGAAGGTTGGGCATAGGGCTAGCAACCCTACCCCGTAAAACAAATCTAACCGCTAAAGAAACTTCAAAGCACAAACAAAATATAAAAAATGAAAACAAACTTATTCCTCGCTGGAATCGGAGAGGCGAAATGACGCCAGTTGGTGAAAGCCTTCGGGAAGCCAATTGGCCGATGTGTCTTCTCTCGATGAAAGCGAAAGTAAACGTGGGGACATGGAATGTCCGCACGATGTTTGAACCCAGTAAGGCAGCCCAGATTGCAAGGGAGATGAGAAGGTATAACATCGAAGTGCTTGGGATTTGCGAAAGCAGATGGAATGGGAGTGGACTCTCCAAACTGTCAACTGGAGAATCAATAATCTACTCCGGTCACCCAGACGCCAACCACGAGCACACTGAGGGAGTGGCTATCATGATGTCCTCAAGAGCATCGAAGGCTCTCATGCAGTGGGAACCAATCTCCTCCAGGATCATGACAGCAAGATTCAACTCAAAAGGAAGAAAGGTCACAATCATACAATGTTATGCACCTACAAATAATGCAGAGCAAGAGAAAAAGGAGGAATTCTACAGACAACTTCAATCAACACTGGACAAGACGTCAGTTGGCGATATCAAAATTCTGATGGGCGACATGAATGCCAAACTGGGAGGGGACAACACGGGAAGAGAACTAACCATGGGTCGAGAGGCACTAGGTGAAATGAATGAGAATGGAGAATTGTTTGCAGAATTCTGCGCATTCAACGATTTGGTGATTGGAGGCAGTGTGTTCAGGCACAAAGATATCCACAAAGCGACATGGACTTCACCAGATGGACACACTAAAAATCAAATCGACTTTATCTCAATCTCAAGAAAATGGAGACGCAGTCTACTTAACACAAGGTCAAGAAGAGGAGCAGATGTAGGTTCAGACCACTACTATCTAGTGCAAGGAACCTTCCAAATCAAGTTAAAAGCCTTCAAGGAAGCTGGTGATAGACCTCAATTCAAGTACAACACTCGGAAACTGAAGGATGAAACTACAAAGGAGATCTTCAAGGCAGCCATCAAGACAAAATGGGAGACATCGAGGGACATCCCTGAAGAAACCTGTGTGGAAGAACACTGGAAGTCTTTGAAAGCTATGTGGAAAGAAACCTGCACAACAGTATTAGGAAGGAAGAGGAGAGAAGACAAGGAATGGATCTCGACGGATACCTGGAAGCTGATAGAGGAGAGGAGGATGGTGAAGCAGAAGATAAACCAGTGCAAGGATGCTCAACGACAAGAGGAACTGAGCACAATGTATAAAACACTGGACAAAGAAGTGAAGAAGAGTGCACGCAAAGACAAAAGACACTTCTACGAAACACTGGCAAGTGAAGCAGAACAGGCTGCAGGTAAGAGAGACCTGACGACATTGTATCAAATAACCAGGTTGCTATCAGGGAAGAGACCAACACAGATGAAACCAATAAAAGATGAAGAAGGAAATTTAATTACAAAAGAAGAGAAACAGAGGAAACGATGGGCCGACCACTTCAAGAAGCTCTTGAATCGACCACCACCTGCACTTCGTCCAGAAATACCACCTGCAGCCGCTGAACTACAAGTGAACATTAATCCCCCAACGAAAATGGAAGTCCTGAACGCCATAAAGCTACTGAAATGCGGGAAAGCAGCAGGACCAGATGGAATACCGCCAGAAGCACTGAGAACAGATGCAGAGACAACAGCGGACATGCTCACACCACTATTGCAGAAGGTGTGGAAGGAAGAGAAGGTACCTGACGATTGGAAGAAGGGTTACCTTGTCAAACTGCCGAAGAAGGGAGACCTCAGTGCTTGCAAGAACTGGCGCGGAATCACTCTCCTGTCCACCCCAAGTAAAATATTAAGCCGCATCATCCTGGAGAGGCTTAAAGATGCACTGGATTCAAAACTGCGACCGGAACAGGCAGGCTTCAGGAAGTACAAATCATGTGCAGACCAAATTGCAACGCTTCGTATCATCATAGAACAGAGCATAGAATGGCAATCACCTCTCCACCTCAACTTCATCGACTTTGAGAAGGCCTTTGACAGCGTCGACCGAGAAGTAATTTGGAAACTGCTTCAATACTACGGAGTACCGCAAACCTTTATCCGCCTCATTCAACAACTATATGAAGATGCCACATGCCAAGTAATCCACAATGGGAAGCTCAGTGATGCCTTTGAAGTGAAGACAGGAGTGAAACAAGGTTGCCTACTATCCCCCATGATATTCTTGATTGTGGTGGACTGGATCATGCAGCAAACAGTAGGCAGCGAGAAGAGGGGGATACACTGGACGACGGAAAAGAACCTAGAAGACTTGGATTTCGCCGATGACTTATGCCTAATGTCACATAAACTTGAAGATCTGCAGGCAAAAACTAACAAGTTGATAGAAGAGGCAGCTAAGACGGGACTTCAGGTGAATATAGAGAAGACAGAAGTGATGAAGATACCGCACCACCCAACCAACAACAACAACAAACTCCAATCACCGTCAACGGGAGAAACTTAAAGGAAGTAACCTCCTTCACTTATCTAGGAAGCACTGTTTCAACTACAGGCGGGACGGACGAGGACGTCAAAGTCAGAATCGGAAAAGCAAGACAGGCGTTCATTAGCCTGAAACCAGTGTGGAGATCTTCTGCACTCAGCATGCGGAACAAGATACGGATTTTCAACACCAACGTCAAGTCAGTGCTCTTGTATGGCTCAGAGACTTGGCGCGTCACGAAAGGTATTTCCAATAAACTACAGACATTCATCAACAACTGCTTACGCTCGCTGCTGAAGATCAGATGGCCAGAATAATAAGAATAAGCAACAAGGAACTCTGGGAACGAACCAACCAAGAACCTATCACGCAACAAATATGCAGGAAGAAGTGGAGATGGATTGGCCATGCACTGAGAAGGCCGACTGAGGACATCACGCGTCAGGCCAGTTGCTCGAGTGGAATCCCCATGGGAAGCGACGAGTTGGACGTCCGAGGGTGACATGGAGGAGGTCGTGCGAGGAGGAAATGAGAGCTTGTGGGCTGTCGTGGGACCAGGTTCAAAAGATCTCAGAGAACAGAGGTCACTGGAGGCGTGCTACTGAAGCCCTATGTTCCACTAGGAACCCAAGGGACTAAAAAAAAAAAAAGGAACAAGAGTGCACCCAGAATTGCTCCCTGTGAGACACTGGATTAGGATGTTCTCCGAGTTGAGTTGACCGTGTTGATTTTCGTGCGGAACTCTCTATTGTCTAAGTAGTTCTGTAGCAACGATAACAACCGGCTACGGATACCAAACCCAGCTGTTTTGCATATTGGGATGGAGTGCGAAACACTGTCAAAGGCGTTGGTGAAATCCAGAAAAACTGCGTGGAGCGGGATCTTGAGATCCCAGAATGCCGTCTGGTGACCATGGGCCATCAAGAGGTTGGAGGCACACAACCTACCCCTTCGGAAACCGTGTTGAGCGTCACTGAGCGCCTGCTTCGCGTCCAGATGTTCCTGATACGGTCGTCTCCCACACCTTCTATAGCTTTTGATATTATGGGTAGAAGTGCTATGGGTCTATAACACTCTGGATTCTGCCTGTCTCCTCTTTTGAAGACAGGGGAGAGGATGGCCCGTTTCCACCCTTGTGGGGGTTTTTCTTCGTCCAATGAGTGTTGGAAGATACCCCGGAGTGGGCCACTTGGGGTGCCCGCACATTCTTACAACACAGATAGGCGGGTGTCGTTGCATCCTAGGGTTTTTCCCGCGCTTAGCTTTGGTAACTCGTCGAAAACAACAGCGTGCGCTATTCGTACTTTGTGGGACTCTGCAGCGTTGGATAACTTTAGGGTTTATCGGGTAATAGGTATGCATAGTTTCCTGACGGAATGTTCAGCTGTGTGTTAAACGTGGAGGTTAACATTTCGGCGATCCCCAGTCCAGACAGGTTTTCTCCGTTCAGATTCTTAATTACGCATGCTCCTTGGCTTGTCGATTTTCTCTCTGCCATGAATCGGCATGAGTTTTGGGGGTTTACCTCAACCTTCTTGGCGAGGTTGGACTGAAACGACCTCCTATCCCCCTGCAACCTGACGTTGCCTAGATTTCGTAGAGCTATATATGCTTCGTGGTCGTCCTCTTCTCTGGAGGGTCTCCATTTACGCCACATCTTCCTCTTGGCTTTAGGAGGCGCTCAGTGCCTTGTTTTAGCCATGAGGTCGGCTTTTTTGGTGCTGTTAACACCAGCAGGAGGTTTCGCGAGATCGCCACCTTAATGGTGTTCCTTTCCAGCTCACAGTGTTGGTCAACGGATTACCATCATTTTTCCTTTGGTTCCTAGTGGAACATAGGGCTTCAGTAGCACGCCTCCGTTCCACTCTATTCTGTCTGCTGTCTTTCCGATCCTGGTTTTGACATTCTCATCTGTGCCACACACATCCACCCACCTATAGTTGAAACGATGCTGCCTAGGTGGGTGAGTAGATGGAAGAGACAACTACCTTTAGGTTTCTCCCTGCCACGGTGATTGCTGTCTCTTGTTGTTGATGCTGTTGTTCGTTGGGTATCTTCATCACCACCGTCATCTCTACGTTCACTTGAAGTCCCATCTTCGCTGTCTCATCTCTTCTACCAACTTGTTAGTTTTCACCCGTAGATCTTCAAGCTTGTGCGACAAGACATTAGACATAAATCGTGATCTGGGAAATCCAAATCTTCTTCTGGTCTCTTTTCATCGGTCAAGCAGCGTATGCTTATCTTCTCGCTCGTCACAGTTGTTTGCAAGATGCAGTCGACGACAATCAGGAAGATTATGGGTGATAGTATGCGGCAGCCTTGTCTTACTCCTGTCTTCATTGCAATGGCGTCACTGAGCTTTCTATTGTGGATCACTTGGCATGTGGCGTCTTCACATAGCTGTTGAATGAGATTGATAAAGATTTGTGGCACTCGGTAGTGATGAAGCAACTGCGTGTCAAATAACTTGTCGGTCGACGCTGTCAAATTCTTTTTCAAAGTCGATAAGGTTGAGGTAGAGTTGACTGCCATTCTATATCAACACCTAGATGGGTAATTGTTAGTTAATAAAATACAAACGACTGACTATAGTTTGCATTATATATCTGTCTTCCTTCTAAGTGGCACATGTTACCTTACATAATGTAGAAAATTGATCATTGATTATCCACTCACAGATAGAATAATTATGGATCTATTTGCACTGAAGAAACAAAATAATACAGAAATTTCCATTGATATTCATCAAATCTAGCAAGATTGAAAATAGAGATTAGATATCTGTACTTACACTACTTGGACACATTAAATACATGGAGAGCGAGCACTTTTTGTTGACAATATGAGACTACTGGTCATTGATTATAGCCACAGTTAAATGGATCACCGGTGTGCGTCAGTAAATGTTGTTGAAGTTGATGATAAAATTTTTCTTAAAGTAGGTTTTTTGATTAGAGTTGAAAGAGGTTCGAAGACAGCTAAAGGTGATTAGTTCAATACATGGATAGCTTTAGCCTACGACGTGTCAGACTTTCACTGTCGGGTGGGTAGAAAAATTTACCATTCCTACAGATTAGTGGTTCAAGCCACCAAGCGATAAAACTGAAAACTGACGGCCTCAACTTTCCTCTTCCTCTCAACCGTAGATATCTTATTATTAGGGGAACTTGTTGATTGCTTATTATTCGCTTAGTGTCTAGCAGGGGAATCTAGGACATGTGTTTTATCCTGTTTGAGACTCGTCGGCTAGATACACTTGAATGCCAATGAGAAGTGTTCCTCCATTGATACACGAACCCAGTACACATTGCTCCAAACGGCAAAGCGTCCTCCACCAGGCCGATTGGGTACAACGGCCACCTCTTGTGTAATGAGTAACAATTTTCGCCATCCCTCAATGCCATGTAGGACCAAATTACTCGACTGTGTAGGGCCCCGTCTTTCAACAGATGCATCATAGAAATGAGACGGCCATCTACTTTGAATAGTCTTTTTGTACTTTGTTTTTATGTGAAGTGGATTTCGATAAGACAAGTTGATAGTCATTGGGATGAACTCATTTATCATAAAGATCTTGTAGTGAAGGAAGCTTGGGTAGTATGATAAGAATTAAGTGGAAGTGTCTACTGACCATCTTTCCTCCTTGAATAATGAACTTTAATTTGTCAATAAGCAGTGAGTCTTCAATGTTGTTCATGTATATTGACTGGCATTCATGTAAACATCAGCAAAATGCACAATATGTTTCGATCAGTGCCTCCAAGGAGAAACTCACGTTTAATAACCGTTAACGTATCACCCAATTACATGTGCTTGAACATTTCAACGATGAATTCAATTCTCATGAACTTTAGAGTTTGAGAAACTGTAGAGTTCATACCAGTTTATTCGGAAAAACCAGTCCGATTGGTCGTGACTAACCTCCTGTATGATCTGAATGCCTCAGTTTCTGGCTACAGGACTGTGTGACGCGGGTTAGAATCTCAGGTGGGACATCACTTCTGCCGAAATTAAAAATGCGCCTTGTTGATGAATGCTAAAAAGCATGACAGTTATGTCCAGGGCTCCCTCCCAATTGCCTTCACCCAACTAACATCTGTCTCAGTGCATCCTTATGGTGAGTCTCCTATCCTCGTGACCACATTGCAAAATGATCGGAAGAATTCAGCTCGCACATGTGGCTAGATAACACGAAGTTGGTTAATCTCTAGTTGCCAATGAATATAAACTTCCTCATTTTACACACCTAAAGCAATATAGGAAACCGATTTCAATTATATCTGTATGGAGAATATTTAACCATTACACAAAGTACTAAAGTTTCCTATAAAGACAAAAACTTGGCCGGTGGGTTAGGAAGGCCTCGTGTTTAAAATAGGTGGTCTTTATAATGGTAGACTAATAATAATTGTTAGCCTGTCAAAACTTTAATGTGGTCTAAGGTTCATCAGTGAGTTTAAAGGAAGATTAGGCAGTTAATGCTCAGTGGTTAGACCGAACAACTAGTAAGTGGGAGTGCAATGGAAATCAAGTCATCAGACCAGGAAAAGGAGGACTGTTCTTTCATTCAAGACACTGCGTGGTTCCTTTTTATCTGCAATTGAAATTTGCGTCACTTCTGTTCAGCGTATTTCCTGTCAGTTCGATTTACTTCCTGTAGGATCATTTCCCACTGTATGGGAGCCTTCGATGGTCTTGGAGACACCATGGTAGCCACTCCGTCCGTATGCCCGTGGTTATTGTCCGGGCGACCAGGTTAGATTATTGGCTTTCCAGTTAGCAGTTCTAAGAGTTCACTTCCATTCCATCTGCTTTCGCAGATTTCGGGCAACCTGGGCAGCCTTGCTAGGTTCAAACTTGGTGCCGACATTCCATGTCCCCATGTTTACTTTCGCTTTTATCAGGAGAAGGGAAGACACATCAGCCAACTAGCTTCCTCAACGCTTTCACCGACCGGGGTAGTCTAGTCTCTTCCATTCCAGAGAGGAATAAGTTTGTTCTTGATTTCAATATTTTCTTTGTGCTTTGAAATTCCTGTGGCGGTTGGATTGGTTTTGCGGGGTGGGGTTGGCAGCCCTGTGCCCAACCTTCCCTCTTTACCTGGGCTTAGGAATGGCCAGCAACCGGTGAACTAGTTAACCAGGCTAGGTTTGGTCAACCCATAAAGATAACCAATCCACTGAACACGGAGCTCTCGACGGGCTTTGGCTCATTCCTTCGCGGTTTGCCCTGTTGAAACGGAGGTAAGAGCGACGTCCCTCTCAAGATAATTGTTCACTGATTACCAGGTCGAACACTACCATAGCATGATCGCTGCTTCCAAGGGGGGCTTGGGACTGCACGCTTTCAGCCATAAGGTGATCACTAGTCAGTAGGTAATCCAATTTAGGTGGTTTACCATTTGACCCCCAGCGGGTGTTGTCGCTAATTTTTTCGTGCAGTCCGGCCATTTAGATGGTATTTAGCAGGCTATGATTGAACTTCCGGCTTGGATTCGTGCCACCTTGCTGTAGGCTGAAAGTTGGAGCGTTGAAGTCGCCAGCCGGTCATTTGGAGGAGTTTTTGGCTGAGTTCAAAGCGATTGTTGGGGGATCTATACATCCCTCCAACCGAGTACTTGGTGCGTCTGGCCATGAAGTTGCACCGGATAGACTCTAGAAGCTCTGTCAGTGCAGTGTCAGCAGTCTGTTCACTTTTGAAACAACTGTTCGCATATACCGCAACCCTCCCTCCGCCCTTGTATTCTCTATCTCTCCTGAACAGAAACATTTCGTCTATGCTAACTTCGGTGTCACTAATGTCCGATGATAACCATGTTAGCCTCAGGACTACGATTTTTGGAATAAGGTCAGAACAAAGGGATCGGAGCTCTATCATTTTACCTCGAAGTCCTCTCACGCTGCTGTAAAGACACTTGGAAGTGCTCCTTGTAGCGTGAGATGTCTCTGCGTTAACCAGTAGCACAGATTTGTATAGGAGGATTTTCACCCACTGGCCAGCTCCAATGGAGATGGCCCAGCTACGTTTTTTCCCGGGTCGACTGGCACAGTTGGTGTTGTGTGGAGGTTGTCGGCCTGACTCTCAACGTGTCGGCTTAGGGTGACGGTGGCCTGAGCACTGGGAGTAACTGCTGTCTGCGGTTGTCGCAGTGCTCTCGGTCTGCTTTCACAGCAGCGAACATTCCCGCCCATGGTGCCCTTGACTTTATACCACGTCTCTAGCACTATGGTGGGTACTTCTGAGGATTCGAATTCTTGGTGGGGTCATGGTTGTCAGATGCGAGGGGCGTGGCAGTCCGCCGATTACCACCGTTGCAACCCTGCTTAGCTTCATCCAAGCTGATAACCACTCCCATTGTTGGGAGACGTGGGTGTACTTGTCACCTGGTGTACCAGTCACCATTTCGGATATTCTATGTATGACCATGGTTATGTGTTTTAGTGGACCAGCTACTTCTCTGGATGTCTTTCTTGGCACCCATGATCTGTCAGGTTTAGCTCTAGTGTTAGACGACCCGTTGATGACCAGGTTGTGTGACGGTAAGAGGAACCTCTCAGCGTCTCTAGTCGAGTCATGGGTCACTCATTGGTGGAGGCTTCCTTGGGGTGGATGGATGCCTTTGTATAGTCAACACAGTTTTGCTTTGAGAGAGCCTAGACCTATTGTGACACAAATGGAGTTCCACTGCTGCCTGTCAAACGTGTCCTTGAACTCCAGAAGGCTGTCATTACGGACAGGAACATTAAATGGAATGAAAGAGCTAGGTCGGGCAACGTTGCCAACATTATCCGATCCTGCGGGTGAGTTTTCACGAATAATCCGAGCTTTCTTCTCTAACCCAACCCATTCGTTACGTTGTCCGCTGATCGCTGTCACTGATATGGTTCCAGAGCTTGCGGTGGATTTAGTTGCCGTCAGTTTAGGTCGTGTTCTGTTCGACTTAGAACCGCTCAGGTTTTTGACCTTCGGTAGGCCATCACCGAAATTTTTTGGAGAGTGAACCTTCCCCATGATGGTTGTTTGCACGGACACCTGCTTTTTGGTGGTCACTGGGATCTTATCGGTTACTCCAGGTGAGCTTGAAGCCAAGTGCGATCTCAGACGGCACTATGGGTAAGTGTACCGGGACCACGTACGTGGGTGGCGCGTCGTGAAGGTATAGTGCCGATGTGGCAATTCCTTGTCACATTGGCAGCGCATCCAACTGTTGCAGCTGTTGCACTTTTGGTTACAGCGAGAGCAGTCGTCGTCACGTTCATGAGGTCTGTCCAAGTGCTTTTGCCTTACTCTTTGACGTTTCTGCCTGGTGGTTCTCACCGGGGGGTCGGGATTGGTGCTAGGTTCAACATGGGGGGTCTGGATTTGCCTGACTAGTGACGTTTACAGTGCTGGGAGGACTGGGGGACTAGCTAACCCCAAGTGTTGCAGTCCCTGGCCATTCGGTCTAGCTGGACCTAGGTGGTCCGTTAGTATCCTCAGTGGCCTTCTTTGTCACGTTTTGACGTCTCATAGCTCCAGCCCCGGTAACTACTGAAAAGGAGGTGGTTAGTGACCGCGGTGGTGCCATACTCGAAGCACTTCGAAGATTTGCCTTTTTCGGAGGCGGCACACGTTTACCACGCATACCAATAAACAGATGAAGATAGTAACAGTTTTACTAA